AAAAGTGGACTAAATTTGCACTATTTCTGGCAGTCTGCAACCCCCTTAGGTTTCAAATCCCCGCTAGGGCATGGAAACCCACTGGGTGATCTTGGGCAAGTCACACTCTCTCAGCCTCAGAGGAAGGCAAAGGCAAATCCTCTCTGGACAAATCTTGCCAAAAACAAAAGCATGATAGGTTGGGCCTAGGGTCTCCCTATGTTAGAAACAACTATGGAGTGAAGTCTCTATTCAGGTAAAGATTGCTGAAACAACATGTGGCACCAATGCACATGTGTGGTGCCACCATGCATTGCCTGAACGTGTCATGGGGGCAGGGGGATTCTGGGATCAGTAATCCAAGGAACTTTTCTGTGAGCAGAAGCAGAATACCTACCAGAGAGGGAACTGAATAGAAATCAAAGTACCAAGGATTAAACAGTGATTTCAGAGGCTGACTGGACACAAGCAGACAGATACAAAAAAGAAGACTTAGGCCATCCCAGAAGTTAGTTGAAGGTACAAACTGATACTCAATCGCTTGAAAATGCATCTCCTTGGAAGCAGGATGACTTCTCTCTAAGAAAGAGCATGCATGGATTTGGAGTCTAAGGCTATGTTGTTGTTGTTATTGTTGTTGTTGTGTGCCTTCAAGTCATTTCCAACTTAGGCCACCCTTATGCAAATCTATCATGGGGTTTTCTTGGAAATATTTGTTCAGAGGAGGTTTACCATTGCCTTCCCCTGAGGCTGAGAGAGTGTGACTTGCCTAAGGCCACTGAATGGGTTTCCTGGCCAAACAAGAAATTGAACCCTGGTCTTTAGAGTCATAATCCAACACTCAAACCATTATACCACATTGGGACAAATCAGAATATTCATACTGAAGATCTTAGGAAGATCTTAGGAAGGCCAACAATAAAACCAGTGTGAACAGTTTGAAACAACAGCCTGAACTGAATTGGTTAGACCTGACTAGTTACACTAGAATTGGCAAGATTTTTTCAGAGGAGGTTTGCCACTGCCTTTCTCCGAGGCTGAGAGCATGTGACTTGCTCAAGTTCACCCACTGGGTTTCATGGCAGAGCCGGGAACTGAACCCTAGCCTCCAGGGTTGTAGTCCAATGCTCAAACCACTAGGCCACACTAGCTCTCTTAACCACCCAACAACTCTTGAATGAAGTCCCTTCCATTGCAGACAGTGGGGAATACAGTTACATCTTGATCCTATTAAATCCCAACATTGGGACTGAAAGAAAAATCATAGAAACATCTGTACATGATATCAGCTATCATCTCTCTCCGCAGACCATGGATACAGACAGATACAGCTGTAGAATCTATAGGTTTGGAGTTTAGAAATAGCTACATTATGGACTCTGGTTGAAGGATTCTGGGAGGTGTAGTCCCAAAAAGTAACTTTACCATGGTCTCTGTTGATGGGATTTCAGTTGCAATGGGTTTCCAAAAAGCAGAAAGCAATCTTCTCCAGTTCTCTCCCCCAATTTGTTGTTCCTATTTGCCTTCAGATGCTGCATTCACATTGCAGAAATAATCCAGTTTGGCACAGCTTTAATGGCCATGGCTCAATGCTATGGAATTCTGGGAATTCCCAGAATTCCATAGTACAGAGCCATGGCAGTTAAAATGATGTCAATCTGGATTACTTCTACAGTGCGGAAGCAGTCTGAGTTATGGTGACCCTATCATGGTTTGGCTTTTTGTTTTTGTTTTTTTCTAGGAAAGATTCATTGAGAGGAAGTTTGCCAATGCCTTCCTGCTGCAAATACACTCCAGAAATAATCCAGGTTGATACCGCTTTAACTTCTGTAGCTCAGTGCTATGGTATCCTGGGACTTGTAGCTCGTTTTGGCACCAAAGCTCTCTGACAGGGGAGTCGATGTTGAAGTTCAGAAGGCTGCAGTCTTCTTAGGCTGCATCCATAGCCCAAGATTCAAGCCACCACACCAGGAGCCAGGTGAGTTAAAGTGGTATGGAACTGCTACAGCTCTGTCGTGTAGACACATTCTCACAGTTTGGCTCATTCCGCCCTGAAATCGTGGGGAAACTTAGCCAACCCAGGGCAGGGCAGGGCAGGGCAGTCCTCCTCCTCCCTTTCTTCTTCTCCTCTTCTCCTTTTCCCTTCTCTTTTTCTTTCTCCTTCTCTTCTCCTCTTCTACTTCTTCATTTTTTCTTCTCCTCTTCCTCCTCTTCCTTCTTTTTTTCTCATCCTTTTCTTCTCCTGTTCTCCTCCTCCTCTTTTCATCTCTTTCTCCTCCTTCTTCTTTCCTCCTCCTCCTTTTCTCTTCTTCCTCTCCCCCCC